CCAATCTTCCTCCCCTAGGGTCCTGAGCCATCACCATTCCATTTCCCTTCTCTCTACCCTCCTCTAAGATCTCTAGCCCTGATTCTAGGATTCCATGAGTAGCGACTACTTGACTGGCCACACCTGCATGGTATTAAACCCCTGGCATCTGCCCTAATCCTTCCCTAAAGCTGTGCTCACCCCATTCTACAAAAACCCTTCTTCCTTTAGTCAGGGAAGTGGAATGGTTGGGGGGGGCATCTAAAATGTTGCTCAGGAATTTCTGAAACCACAGGATGATGCTAGAGGAGACCCGAGGTTAAATGAGTCACGAGCTACAGTGGAGGGGGAAGGGGAGGAGGCTGTTCAGAAGAAGAATGGCACTGGTCAAAGGGAGATTGTTCATGAGTTTCAGACATGAGTAATAAGGGGAGTGATGTATTTGTGCAACCTATACAAGAGCTTTTGACACATGACGGTCTGTTCCCTCTCCCCTTCTCACTCAACCCCTGCAGGCCTGTCTTTTTATCTTCCACAGCCTGTCTTGGGCCTGGCATCTACCCAGGCATAGCACCCAATACAGCAGGCATCAGTTAGGAGATGAAGTTGCCCCTCTCTCCTTCAGATTCAGGGTCACAGTTATCACGTGAAGGTCCTCAAACATACTTTGTGCTGGTCAAGGCTGGAGCTGTCAAGGGGAAGGACTGGATGATTACAAATCTTTCAATATGTTCCCAAAGCAGCTGTACATTTGGGAGGTCAAAGTCAGTCAGCTTTAGCAATTCCTTGCTCAAGGACAAATCCCTTAATACTCTCCTCTTCCTTCAGTACAACAGTCTCATTTGGCTTGTCTCCAAAGTCAATTTTGCTCACTAAGCAGGGTGCCTTGGTTAAGTTGAATTAAGTTTTTCTGAGTTGGGGGGGAGTAGGGGAGGGGATGTGGGAATGAGAAAGATGGTGTCTCTGGCAATTAAATTGACTAGACAAAAAAAAAAATTAAAAGACTATTATAGCCCTAAAACATCTGACTAATTAAAGATTTCCTTCTAAAAGAGGTATTATTAAGAGGTAGATTTCAACTCAATTTCACATTTAATGAGCACCTACTATGTGCAAGGTTCAATGATGATTCAGATCCTTTCATTCGTAACTGTGTGTTAGTAAACCACACTCATCCTAACTCTCATATCTAGCAAGATGGGTACAGCAACTCTATGGTTTTGTGGGGGGAATTATCCTGTAAAGTAAGGGTTTTAAATTTCTTTACAAATAGACCCCTTTGGCCATCTGGTGAAGACTGTGGAGCCCTCAGAATAATGTTTTTAAATATACAAAATGAAATATGGAGAATTATAAATTAAACCAATTACATTGAAAAAAGTTATCAAAGCATTTTTTTAAAGTTCATGGACCCCAGGTTAAGAAGTTCTTTTACAGAATACAGAATAGTAGAGAAATTTGTGATTCCCATGTACTTGAAAGCAAATACAAATGTCTCCCCAATAGAATGTAAGTTCCTTGAAGGCAGGAACTATCTCACTTTTGTACTTTGTATCCCCAACATTTAGCACAGAGACTGACAGATGGGAGGTTTTTTTAATAAATGCTTGATGACTGACTGATCCTACCCCCACATCCATGCCCAGACTAACAATCAAACAGACCTCTACAGTATGACAATGCTATATGATAGAAGCAGTACCACACAAAATTAAGATGGTATCAATATCTGGCATGGATGGTGAAGCCTCCATCATAAGGCAAATGCTCAAACCACATTCTTCTGGCCCTACTATACCCATTGAATAGTCCATTGTATCACTTCCTGTTCATTGTGGTTTCCTGGTCCTAAGTGAGCTGAAAGTTAGACATCCACATATCTCTGGGGTAGTATAAACATGAAGCTAAAAACCACAGGCCCCCTTTACCTCAAGGGAGATCTGTGGACAATCCCACAACTGCAAACTTTTTTTTAAAGGTATATATTTTTTAAAAATCTAAAACTTTTTATACTTTGAAGTATCAAATATGCATCAGCATCTAACACTTATTAATCATCTACAACATTGTCTCTCCCTATATTCCCTCACCAACCATGGCCCAACTGAGTTGAAGAGATCATAAGGTACAATCATACAATCTCAGAGTCAGAAAATGCATTCCAGTCTCCATAGCCCACCCTTCTGCTGTATCTTCCAGTGCAAGGTAGTTCATAGCCTTTCCTTCCAATGAGCCAAAATATTTCTGTTACTTTCATTCATTGGCCCTACTTCTGCCCTCTAATATTATACAGAATAAGTCTGTTTTCTGTTACACAAGACTGCCTTGAATAGTGATGATCCTCACTATGTAGACAGTTTGCTTGATCCAGAAGCTGCAGGAGCATACAGCTCCTACTTGTCCTGAGGGTTTTTTTTTTTTAGGTATCAGCTACAGACTCCCTATGCTAGACTGTCCAAGAAAATACAGACTAGTGACCATTCTCAGAGATCTATGGTATAATAGAAGTTAAAAGCTAGGCTGCTATCCCTGAAGACAAGTCTTGGGAATACCAACATCAAGAGTCTTATGTTGCTATGGAGGTTGAAATGCCAGCTTTTTTGGGGAGGTAGGGGAGAAGGCTGGAGAGCTAGGGAGAGCTTGGAAGACCCACACTTTGGAGGAGTGGTAGCTTCATTACCTAGTTCCATGATCCTTAAAGAGGGATCAGGTCTGCCATTTACCCCACATGGATACTGGTGGGCAAGCAAGTTGATGCTTGCAAGATGCTTTGAAATTCATGGATGAAAGGGACTGAATAAACAAAACATTATCAACAGTTTGAAAGCTCCTGACCTTTGCCAGGACTTGCCACCTGGCTTTCACCTGCTCTGAGGTTTATGGGGTGGGGGGGAAACCTACCCTAGGAAACCAAATTTCAGGATAACAAATATGGTCCTAGCATCTGTGGGAAGGGATGCTCCTAAAGGTGACTTTTTAAAGGGGCTGGAAAAGGAGGTACTACAGAGGGTTTTTGCAAATTTCATTGTCGAAATGAAAGTGTCTGGAGAAGTAAGGAGAGAGGCAGAGCCTATGCGATTTCATCCTAAAAGGATGAAATGACCCCTTGTCTGTGGAAGAAGAATTTCCAAGGCTGCTCAGGTCAGGGGGAGGTAAGGCATTAGATCCTACGTTCTCCCATCCCCTTTCAGCCCCAGGTGGGGCTGGACCAGGAATTTAAGGCATTTGAAGGAGGGTTATTAACAGTGCTGAAGAAAAGCAGGCCCTTGGAGAAGGTATCTCTACACTCCACCCTGGTTTCAGCAAAGCATATTCAACTGGTGTCATAGGGGGATGGGAGGGCAGGACATGGGGTAGGGGGACAGAGAGTAGGTAAGAGCTACAGATCAACCCTCTCTTTCCTTTACACCTCCCCAGGACAGGCTCTGCATAAACAGGTCTCAACAGAGCTTGACCTCAACAAAAGTCTCATCAGCTTGGACAGAAGCAGGGTCTTAGGAATAATACCTCTGCTTTTTGTTTTCTAGAGACTTGTTCATATCTCCTCTGTGGCACTATCATTTTCTGTCTGGTATCATACACTTCATCTCCTCCAGGCTCCTTGAGAGACCTTAGGATAGTAGGCACACATCGTAGGAATATTTCGTAAATAGTTTATTGAAGGAGAGTTGGGCCGGGGTACTAGGAAATGCATTTATAATACAAAAAAGCACCTACACTGGAATTTCTAAGGGGTTCTGCTTGGATAGTGTCTGTCCCACATTCCAGTCCCCTGAGTATGTGTTCCGGACACTCAGAAAAGCTGGGGACTGGAATGTTAGCAGGCAGCCTTCAGCCCTCCAAAGGTCCCAAACCAGCTTCCACCCCACAGTGGCACCCCAAAGCACCCTGCCCTATGCCTCAGCACACCCTCATTGCTCTTTAATGCTTTTGGGCGATGGAGAAGACTCATCTATGGGAGCAAAGACACAGCAGCTAACACTCATTTACCCTATTTCCCCATCCTTACCCTCTAGGAGTCTTAGCTGGGGGAGTCAAGAGTATTTGTGAAGACCCACATACAGGTTAAGAGTCCAGGGCCCGTCTAAGAGGAGTGACCTGTAAGATCACTGTACCAACATTTACTGAGCATCTACTATAAATGTCCAGTCCTGTGCTAGGCATTGAAAGGGACACAGATTTATAAGACCATAGCTCCCGGGAATGAGGGCTGGAAGTGGTCAGGGAAGGCTCCAGGAAGGAGATGAGACTTGGCGCTAAGCAGGAGGAGGGGCAGGAATGAAGAAGCATGGCAGAGTTAAATGGAACTGTGAGACCAGGTTGACTGTCCAGCCCTGCTGACCGTTATTAAAAAGTATGCTGCCCGAACCTCAACGGCGCTGCTCTGGGACCCTTCTGCAGTGCGTGACAGCAAAAAGTTTGCCAGGGAGCTTCCCAAACCCCTGGCAGCTTCAAAGAAACAAGGCAAAAAACAGAGGGCATTCTTCAAGAGCAAACAGGCAAGAGAGGAAGACTGAAGGAGGGAGGAGGTGGCACTCAGACGGGGCGAGTAAAGGCTGGTAGGAATCACCAATCTCCTCCCACGAGCCAGCGAGTGTCTGGAGCCTCCAAGAAGGGAAGAGCTGAAGTCCAATCTGGGCCTGAATCCCAGCCACCGACCCAGAAGGCACACACCCGGAGATCAAATAGCAAGACTGGGCACCCAGGGGATGGGGCTAGCCTTAACTCTGCCCCACTCGGGGCTAAGCGCCCACACTGGAGGAAGCAGCCGGGTCCCCGCTCCCGAAGCGAATCTCCTCTTCTTTTCCGAGCCCGGGAGCGGAGCGGAGGCAGAGGGGCGGGGGGAGCCACAGGGCGGGAGAATGGGGAGGGGAGGATGGGAAGGGACGCGGAGCGGAAACCCGGCTAGGGTTGCGGGCCCCCTCGGGCGGGGAGTCAAGAACGCAGGAGGGGAGTCCGGCCTCCATGCAGTGCGGGGGACCACCCTATGGAAGACCCGGCAGACGGCGCAGCGCGCTCACCTGCGATGTATTGGCGCCGGCTGTCGTCCAGGTGCGTGGACAGCACGTCCCCCATGGCGGAGACAGAGGGGACCCGCGTAGCCTCCTGGTGCAGCCCCCAGACGCTGACCCCAGCCAACCAAGCCCGGGGCCGAGCTCGCCTCCTGCGCGCCGCGGTCTCAGAGTCCGGTGGTTCTCTCCATAGACTGGGCAATGTCCAGTGTCCAGCGTCCGCCTCCGCCGCCTCCTGCTAGCCCAGGGAAGCCCGAGGCGCCTCGGCCGAGAGAAGCTGGTTCGGGTCGGACCCCGCCCCGCGGCCGACACGCCCTCGGCCGGCCCGGGCCCACCCCTTGAGCCCAGGGGCGGGGTTTTGCCTTCTTTGAGACAGACTGGGCTGGGAAGGAGGGGAGAGCAGAATGAGAGCTACTGAGCAGGGCCAGTTCCTCCACCCCACAGTCTGGTATTTCCCGCATTCCCCAAGTTGCGGAAAGGGGGGCGGTGGTGCTGGAGGGTGAAGGATATTCAAGTCCTCGGAGTGGGGGAGGCAGGCCTGGGCCCCAATTCCATATCCCCTCAGGGTTGTTCATCCATAACAATACCAACACCACTAGCTGGCACGTATAACACCCAAGTTGTTGTCAGATTGGGCTGGAGGGGTGGGGGACAGAGAGAACTGCCAATCCTAACAGAGAGGCTTCTGGGCGGGGCATCTGCCCACCCAGCCTGTTAAGGTCACTCCCTTGGGTGAGATTTTCCCACCCCCAAAACAGGCAGTGTTAGGGAGGAGAAGTAGATTTTCCAAATTTATTTTAAAAAATTTGTATAGACTTCCCTTCACCTGAGTATATGACATCTTCCCTCTGAGCTTGCCTGTGCCTCACCCACTGCTGAGAAGCACCTCTGCCTTTATCCTCCCAGATTCTCAAGGTGTGTCACAAAACTCTCCAGGGGCATCAGAGAGAAGCCGGGAGTGCCCAGGAGGAAGGTGTGGCCAGAACACCCAGCAGGTTGTAGAACTCTGGCACCAAGCTGACACCTTTGTCTGGGCTCAAGGTAAACATTTCTTACTAGGCTGTTTGGGCAGTTTATGTGGGAGGGAGGATCTGGAATAGAGTTGAAATGTCAATGAAAATGACCTCATATATAATTGAAATCTAATTGCCTTCTCAAGGAGGGGGGAGAGGCAGGAGGGAGAGATCACTTGAAAATCAAAATTTAGAAAAAGATTGTTAAATTTTTTCTTACATGTAATTGAGAACTAGGTAACAAAATAAAAATAATTTAAAAAAAGAAATGGCAAGGAAGAGTCAGTTTGGAATGGCAATATATCAGGGAAAAGAGGGGTAACCTGGTGGGTCCTGGCTCAGGGCACTTTTCCTTTTCCAATATAAGGAGGTGTGGATGGGTTGTGATCTGTTCCTCTGGAGAGAGTACACACCTTGATGAGATCATTAAGCTATTGGAATATCCTAATGTTTCCATGAAGGTGTGTACAGTGGTTTCCAGTCTTCGAAGTACCTTCACATAATTTTATTTGAGTTTTATCCAGCTCTTCAAAATAGGCAGGGCAGATGGTGCTATTATTTTATAAATGAGGAAACTGAGGCTCAGGAACAGGAAATCACTTGCCCAAGGACACAGGTAGTCAGCCATAGAATGGGAAAGGACCTTGAGGTCATCTACTCCAACAGGCATCTGAAACATTGATAGCATCCAGCCCAAGTCTGAAGCTCTCCAGGGACAGGGAACCCACTGCCTGCTAACGTAACCCACTACACTTTGGAACATCTCAAATTGCTTAAAAGTTTTCTTCTCAGAGCTAGGATTCAAACTCAGATCTTTTGAATCCTAGCCCAGTGATGTTCTCATTAGATCGTCTTCAAACAAGCTTGGCTTTCCTCAGGCCAGGGTATTTCAAAGCTTTGTTTGCCCCATCTGCCCCTCTTTTCTCCAGAACTAAATTCCCCTATTTTAGGGGCTCAGGGAATTTTAAAATTGAGTCGAACAATTGAGGGCTTAGAATAAATATTTTCCCATTAAGTATAAAGCTCCCAACCCTGAGTGTTAGATTCATAGGTATCCATCCTTCTCCCAGCAAGCCATACAACACAGTACAGTCAGAGGGCTAGCTAGCCCCACAAAAAGTTCCTAAAAAGGAAGGAAGGATTCTTTAAAATTTGCAATACTTGTTCTCAGGTGTGCCATGTAAGTGTTGTCTGAGCAGTTCTGGGTTGGCCCTGCAAGAAAATGAATTAGCACCAGGTGGACCAGGCAAGAGGGTCAGAAGTGATGGGAGCCTGCAGGGTGAGGTGTAGGGGGTAAGGGTACAGTGGAAAGAGCAGGACTCTTGAGAGTCACCAGACCTGGGCTTAAGCTCTGGCTCTGCTGGTTATTCCTGGCATGATGTTAAACAAGTCATGTAACCTTTGTTATCCCCAGTTTCCCTCTCTTGTAAGTTAGTTTTGGGGCAGATGAGTGACAAAGTAGATAGAATGCCGGGCCTAGAATCAGGAAGACTCATCTTTCTGAGTTCAAATCTGACCTCAGACACTTACTAGCTGTGTGACCCTGGGGAAGTCACTTAACCCTGTTTTCCTCAGTTTCCTCATCTGTAAAATGAGCTAGAGAAGGAAATGGCAAACCACTCCAGTATCTTTGCCATGAAAACCCCAAATGGGGTCACCAAGAGTGCCACACTACTGAAAAATGCCTAAACAATAACTGGATACATATGCTATACAAAGGAAAGGTTATTGTTATCTTCATATGTAAAAGATGGAATATTTATTGCTAACCATGGGGGGTCAAAGAGACTCTCCATCCTTTCTCAGGATCTGTGGTTCCAGCTACCATCATCCTAAAGAAAGTCTCTATTTCCATGTAACTAATCAGACCTTTACCTGGTTCGATACAAAATGCCATCAACAATGGAAACTGAAGATGGAGAAGAGCTCATACTAGTCTCCTTTATTTTTTTCTTTAACAAGGTTATCTTTACCAGAAATAAATGGTAGTTGATGCAAGGTTAGCCTTGGGGTGGAGTACTTCCACCCATCCATCAGAGATAGTGGCTCACTCTTTCATTCCCAGCCCTATAATCTCTAGGGAGGCTGACCATGCATTCATTCATTCAATATTTATTGACCATACTTTGTGCTAGAAAGGCACTTTGTGAATATAAGATACAATCTCTGCCCTCATGGAGTTTATAAACTAGTAGAAGAGATAAGAACTGTATGCAAAAAAAAATAATACCAAGTAGGATATTCTATCATATGAGTGTAGGTCACATGAGCATCATAGGAATTCAGAGGAAGGAGAAATAATGAAGCACGTTTCTACAGTGATGTAAAATATCTAAAATGCTTTTCTCACAGCAACCCTTTGAGAAATATAACATAAGGATTATCATACTCATTTTGTAGATAGAGAAAGCAAGGCTCAGAAAGAGGATGTGACTTGCCTCTTGTCACATAGCAAGTAAGTTATCATAAGCAGCATTCAAACTTAAGTCTCCTTGATCCAGCATTTCTTCCACTTCATTACCCTGCTTGAGGAGAGACCACTGAGGGCACATCGTGGTTGGTTGGGAGGAAGCTTCAGAGAGGAGGAGATATTTTAAACTGAAGGCAGAGATTAAAGATGGTGACTGTAGGTGGAAGAGATGGTGAAAGGAACAAGAAAAAGGCATTTTCAGGAAGGGGATGGTGAATAAGCCAGTTTGACGCAAGAGAAGGACTTGTGTCAGATAAGATTGAAAAAGGCCCATATGTGGAGGGCTGTGAATACCAGGCTAAGAAGTTTGAATACTATTCAGTAGGCAATGGGGAAGGTTGTGAATTTCTAAAAAACAAAAAACCACTTCTCAATTTTCTTTCACTTAAAAAAAAATGTCATACAGCACTTTTAGAATGGGAGGTGCTCAGGAAATGAAGCATAGACAGAGGATCTCTATTCCAGGAGATGGGGGAAAATATTGTCCTATCTCCTAGGTTTCTATGAAAAGCAGCTTCTCCCTTTTTTGCCCCTACAGCCCTCCCTTCCACTCTTGCTCCTTTATGTCATGGTAGGGAGGGTTTTTTGGGTGGAGTGACCAAGGTGCCCAGAGAAGAGGGAAGAAGGAAAATATGTTTACAGATTTGTGTCTAGACAAACATAGATTCCCCTCCCACAAAGAAGAGAGAAGGCCTGACCACTGGAGCTCATTTTTCCTCTCCTTCCCCACCCCCACTCCTGTGAAAATGCCACCTACCACCCCTGAGTCACTCATTTTCCCTAACAGGAAGTGTCCTCTGCCAGCCTTCCTCCTCCTCCTCATGCCTAGTCAGCCCTACCCCACCCTACCCCCAGGAGCAAAGCAGCTGGGGTACCCTGAAACAAGGGAGCTCAATGTGCAGCAAGCAGGAGATAGGGTTAGGGGCAGAACAGGGAGGAGTCCCTCCCCCCATTATTTCCACATTCCCCTCCCTGTTGGCACTTGGCCCCCACAAACCTGTCAGACCTGAAATCATCAAAAAGAGGAAAATAGAATCAACAGCAAAACATGTGAGTGTTTTTTTAAAAAAGATTCTGTGCCAGCCTGCCCATTTTGTGCCACTTATGGCATTGACATCTTTCTGGTGTCAACAACAGCTGAGTAGCTGGGTAAAAAGTGCTTCCCCCCTCCCCCATGCTTAGGGTGGAAGAAAATGTGTTTTCAGGACATTTTGCCCAGGACCTCAGAGTGTCTGGCCCACAGCCAGAACTCACTGCCTCTTTATCAAACCCCCATGATGATGACTGAGGGAGCTCCAGTTTGATAGGCTTTCATTCTTGCCAGTCTCTTGAACTTAAACTGTTTCATTGTTCATTTAACAAATATTTATTAAGCACTTGCCAGTTATAGAAACATAGAGTGTTAGAAGTGGAAGGAACACCGAACACCAGAGCTGGAAGGAAACTTCAAGATTGCCTAGTTCAGCCCTTGTTACTTACAGACAAGGAAAGTGAGGCCCAGAGAGAAGTGGCTTTCATACTTTCACAAAGTCATTCCGCCAGGGAGTTGAAGATCTGGGACCAAGCCCAGGCCTCTTGACTCCCAGAGCCATGCTATTGTTAGAAAGGCCCTTTACTAGCTGCTTTGAGAGATACAAAGATGAACAAGAAAGTCCCTGTCCTCAGGGAACTTACAGTCTAGGTGCAGAGGGAGGTGGGACACCACATGTGAAGCAACATGACAGTGTATGATTACTTGTCAAATGGCACAGATAATAAATGTTGTAGG